TTGAGTAATTTAATATGTAGATTATCATAATATATTAATATATGGTTGAAAACTTATCATTATAATTTAAATTTTGTAAATGTTACATTTTATATTATTTTTTATATACATACAAATATTAAAATGAAAATAAATGATAAAATCACTTAAGTAATTCAATAATCAAATGAGACCATAACTTTTGTAACGACTTTTTAACTCAAATTTTCATATTTTTTAAAATATTTTAAAATTTATTTCAAAACAATTCAATTTTAAAGTCAATTCCACCAAGGCCAATTTATCAGAATAATTTGAGTAAGATAAACCCTAAACCTTAAAACCGACCTAAATGGACATCGATTGTAAGAATTTCAAACTAGACACTACCCTAACAGATGGGATATGGTCGGTTAAAGACGGATTCAAGATCAATTCGATTCTGTTCCGAGTATAACCTAACCCATAAGTCATAAACTAGTTCACAGTTACTTGCAGGCCAAGAATGCGAGGTCAATGGAGTCCAACTTTTGTCCTTCCCGCGTCAATTAGCTTTTTATTCCCATTCTATCCCTAGCATCTCAAGGGTCATCGATCGTCATGTCTCAACAGTTCTGTTTTCTCACCATTCCAAGACTTCTGAACCAAGAAATCCAAAAGGCGACAACGACAACGACAACGCTATTCCCCATCTTTTCTATTTTATATTTTAAGGATTTAAGGACAAGGAAATCAGTAACAGTCCCTCTCTTTTGAATATCTATAATAATATAAAGGCTACTTTTTTGCTTTAGTCACCAGTCATCACTCATCACTGCTCTATAGTATGTACTCTCTCCTCTACTCTGCTTTGCTCTACCATACCCAGATTGGCTTCGGGGTTTAATCAACGATCGCTTGAACGTCCAACAAGGTAGTTCCGCCACTGCTCTATCTTTTATCTTGTTTCCTGTTTTCGACCAACCATGTTCGCCCGAGATTCCCATTATCAGTTCTTTCATATTTTGTTTTTCTTTAGTTGGGTTTGCGTGAATTTGGAAGATATTTATTGCGCTTTTTTTCTTCTTCATTTTTTTTTCTTTCTGAAATTTTTGATGTGGAATTTGATCTTCTGGGTTTCGTGGGTCTTAATAGATGATTCTTTTTTTTTTTTTTTTTTTTTCTTATGAAGCAATCTAGTGAATCTCGTTTCCTTTTCTTTTTGGATACTCTAGAGGGAAGATGACAACTTTTTTCGTCTAGCGTCTTCTATTGAGAACTGTGGAGAATCGAGTTGTTGTTATGATGATATAGGTTATGGGTGAAGATGGGTCTGAAACCTAGAAATGCCATCTTAAGCTCAGATTTGATTATTTTGCGAAGTGATGAGAGATGACAAGTGGCGACTATAATGTGAGCATYGGTAGCGTCGTGTGCTCCATCGCCACGAACCCTCTAAAAACACACAAAGGACAATATGTAAACGGGGATTTTAGTGATAATGCAGGGTTACAGGGCTGTTGCCTTCCTTGATTTAAGGCCTCCATGGCGCTCAATCCTGTGAGCAAGTCGGCCCTGTAAACTTGGATACAATTGCAACTTTGATTCTTATTAATTTTGTAATGCCCATTTTTTTTCCTGCTTTCTTGGTTTGCATTTGTTTTTTCCGTAGTTTTGCCAATGCAGATGCTTAAATTTCACTGAAATGTGAGGAGTTCGAAACTTTTTCTCTATCAGTTGTTGGTTTTTATTTCAGAGGACTGTTCCAACTGTAAAGAGTTGCATTGTAATCTTTTTTGGCTGAAGTTTGAATTCTGAGACTTCCACAAGCTGTCGCACAAAAAAAAGAAGAATGGGATCAGAGGGAACAAAAAATGACATGATTATCAGTCAAGTCAGTTTCGGAGGATTTGACAATAATGTCACTGCATCAGAACTCACAGATTTCTTAGAGAAAGAAATTGGCACTATATGGCGGTGTAGATTGAAGACTTCCTCAACACCACCAGAGTCTTACCCTGATTATGATGTAACAGACATGGACGCAATCCAGAAGACAGATGGCTATGATAAGGTGAAGCCTCATGCTTTTGTACACTTTCTATCTCCTGAGGCAGCAACTGCAGCATTGGATGCTGCAGGACGTTGTGATCTTGTATTGAATCGCCACCCTTTGAAGGTGAATTTGGGGCCTCAAAGTCCATTCCTTCTTAATCAGAGGAGGAGGAAAATAGATCCTTTCAAGATACCCGATTCCTGCATCAAGATTGGATCTTTAGTTGGCCAGGATGAATTTGTTGTTTGTTGGAAGGCACCTCAGGTTGATTTTATTGTTGATCCCTTTGACCGGACCTGTAAGATCCTTTTTACAAAGGAGACTGCTTTCTCCTTTAAAGACACAATGGCATATGTAGTCATCAAATGCAACTTCAAGCTAGAATTCTTTGTGAGTGATATTAGTTATATCAAACAATATACGGGCAGATCTTCTTTGGTTATTTTGTTGCATCTGAGATCATCCCCATGCATCTATTACAGAACTGCTGATGATGACATCTATGATTCTGTTCCATTTGATATGTTGGACGATGAGGACCCTTGGATAAGGACCACAGATTTCACACCCAGCAGAGTAATAGGTCGTTGTAACTCATACAGAATCTCAATCTCACCCCGTTTTGGTCCAAGACTGAATAAAGTTATGAATTATCTTAGAAAACACCGGATACCAGATGAGTCTCCTAGGATGCCACTAAGGATCAGAGATGAACCCAATTTTGGGATGCTGATGTCTGAGTTCTTCTTTTGCATTGATCATAAAGAAGGTATGAGTTTCGAGACAATATTCATGCTAAATGCTGTCATTCACAAAGGTATTATCAACCAACACCAATTGTCAGATGAGTTCTTTGAATTACTGAGAAGCCAGTCTACTGATGTGAATGTCACAGCCCTACAGAACATTTATTCTTATAGGCAACCAGTTTTGAATGCATACACGAGTCTGAAAGATGCCCAAAGATGTCTCCTAGACAACCCCAAACTTATCAAGATTTCTAAGGGGTCAGATGATTTTGTTGAAATGAGGAAATTAGTTATAACTCCGACCAAAGCGTACTGTCTTCCACCAGAGGTGGAGCTTTCTAATAGGGTCCTAAGGAAATATAAACATGTTGCTAATAGGTTCCTAAGAGTTAGCTTCAAGGATGAACGCATGCAGCAGCTAAGTTCTAATGCCCTCAACTATTATGTTGCTCCTATCGTTAGGGATATTACATCAAATCCATTTCCCCAGAAAACCACTGTTTTTAATAGAGTGAAGACCATCCTGAGCAATGGGTTTTTTCTTTGTGGTCGGAAGTATTCTTTTCTGGCATTCTCATCCAATCAGTTGAGGGACCGATCTGCCTGGTTTTTTGCTGAAGATAAGAACATTAAAGTGATTGAGGTTAAAAAGTGGATGGGAAGATTCACCAACAGGAATGTTGCCAAATGTGCAGCTAGGATGGGACTTTGCTTCTCATCCACCTATGCGACTGTCGAGGTTCCGTTGAAGGAGGTCAACTTGGAGCTTCCAGATATCGAGAGGAATGGATATGTATTTTCAGATGGAATTGGCATGCTAACACCTGACCTTTCAATGGAAGTTGCAGAGAAATTGCAATTGACTGCAAACCCTCCTTGTGCCTATCAAATCCGATATGCTGGTTGCAAGGGGGTCATAGTTTGTTGGCCAGGAAAAGAAGATGGAATCCGTCTTTCCCTGAGGCCAAGCATGAACAAGTTTGAGTCCAGACACACAATCCTTGAAGTCTGCTCTTGGACTCGTTTCCAGCCAAGTTATCTGAACAGGCAAATAATAACTTTGCTTTCAGCTTTATGTGTTCCTGATGATGTGTTTTCAAGAATGCAAGATTCTATGGTTTCTAAATTAAACCAGATGATTGAGAACACTGATGTTGCTTTTGATGTTGTTACCTCATCATGTGCTGAGCAAGGGAATACTGCAGCCATAATGTTAAGTGCTGGTTTCAAGCCTCAGATGGAACCTCATCTAAAAGGGATGCTATCCTGCATAAGAGCTGCCCAACTGAGGGACCTTTTGGAAAAATCTAGAATCTTTGTTCCTTCAGGAAGGTGGTTGATGGGGTGCTTGGATGAACTAGCAGTACTTGAAGAAGGACAGTGCTTTATCCAAGTGTCGAAACCTTCATTAGAAAATTGTTTTTCAAAGCACGGCTCTAGATTTTCTGAGGTAAAGAAGAACACACAAGTTGTTAAGGGGATTGTGGCCATAGCAAAGAATCCCTGCCTTCACCCAGGAGACATTCGGATTCTGGAAGCCATAGATGTGCCCAGCTTGCACCATCTTATTGATTGTCTGGTTTTCCCTCAAAAGGGAGACAGACCACATACAAATGAAGCATCGGGAAGTGACCTTGATGGGGATCTATACTTTGTGACTTGGGATGAACATCTTATACCTCCTAGCAAACAAAGCTTGGTCCCAATGGATTATTCCCCTGCAGAAGTTAAAAAGCTGCCACGTGATGTCAATCATCGGGTATGCATTTTCCTTGCATGGAGATTCTCCACTTCTGTTTTATATGATTTTATTTATGTTTTTTTTACACACAAGGTTACTTTTATTGTGCCAATACTGTTTTTATTTGTGATCTCTTTATTTCTTCTATTGACATACTTTTCTTGGTCCATTGTGCCTCATAAATTTAGTGCCACCTATTAGCTTATTCTATTCAAATTCTACCTTTTTTGTATTCTTCTTTTTTCCTTTTTTTTCATAGATTGGATGAATAACAATAAGGCTAGGATCCTGATTTGAGGATTGCCATATTGTGGGGAACTATTAGTCTAATGTTTCTTAACCTGGTTCTCTCAAAGGATGGTGATCTGGTGAAACTAATAAATGATTCTGGATTTGCTGCTCTGTTTCTCCTGCATTTGCTGCACTAGGTGAAAACTGTATGACAATTGATGTTGCTGGACATGGCAGGATAGTAAATTTACATTATAAATTGATATCTGACATGATATGACACTCTTGTATATGTATCCTGGTATTATAGGTGACAAGTGTTGAAGAATTAGTGTGTCGCATGTATAGGCCTTCAGATGAGTCTGGATTAGCTAGAAGGGGAAGGCTGTAGAGGGGCCTGTACAACCTGTTACAGCCCTCCACTTAAGCTGTACGTGTTAAGCCCACTTACCATGTGTGAGTCACTTAACAGAGACTAATGAGGGACCATGGGTTCAAGATTACTTTTTGTTTATTTAATTGTTGAATTTTAATTTGCACTACCCCTACCTCTTCCTCTCCTCTTGCTTCTGCCTCTACCCACTAGTCACTGCCAAGATTCCCGCCAATTTTCATGGTGGAGGCTCTTTAGGTGTTTGTTTCCAAGCTCATATTTTGACAACATCTTGACCTCGGTTTGGGACTCATGAGCCCCTTGTTTAGAAGTAAGGATCCTATGCTTGATTGCAATGGGGGTGGTTTCATCATCGATGTACACTCCCTTTGTAAGCATTGCTGAAGCCACCCGTGCCAATAAGCTGTGCTTCGTTGAAATTTTGTGTGGCCACCATGATCTCCACAAACAAAGAAGTGATGGTAGAGATTGAATGGCAGTGATGAAGTGTTGTTCACTTGTTTGTTTTCCAAGAATACACAGATGGTGAAATTGGGGCCTGTTCTGATGCTCAAGGTTTAAAATGTCAATGTCGGTGGAAATGTCGGTCATCCAAATATAAGAAACATGTCGGAAATGTCAGAAATATCGTATGGAAATATTGTAAAAATTATAAACATGGTGGAAACATTTTAAAATATGCAAAATATAGTAAGATATTTTATGAAATGATAAAAGAAGCATAAACACACCTTTTTAAATTATTATCTTGTTGGAAATCATTAAACAAAGCTAAGAAACTAAGGTTGTAGACAAAAGAATACGTTTTGAAGTTGCCCTGTAAACTTTAAGATTCAGAGCTTCATGATAAAATGAGTTAAAAAAAAATTTTAACTCATAGAAAATGTAAATGATTGTAATAGATCAACCAAATAATCTATCACACAAACAAAAAACTAATATTTAACTTCATGTTTGAAATGAATATTGAGCTAGCTCAAAGTGGTAATCATGTAAGTTAGGCAGACAATAAAATTGTTACATAACATATTTGCAATTAGACATGTTCATGGGCCGGGCTTTCACTTGTCATTAAGGGAAATATGCTAGGCCCGAGCCCAAGCCCGGCCCAACCAACGGGCCTATAACTTGGGCCCAAGCCCGGCCCTGATAAAAAGCCCAAGCCCGGCCTATTTTCTCTATTCAAATTAGAATTAAAAATTCAGATAGTTTTTTTTCCTATTTAAATGAACAATGGGCCTACAAGATGGTTTTTTTCCCCTTTCTTTTATATTTTAAAACACAGTTTTACATTCTTAAATCAAAAAAAATTATTCAAATGGACATAATCACATTACTCACTTTAAGTCTAATATTAGGTCGGGCCGGGCCAGGCTCGGGCCGGGTTATTTTGACAAAACCCGAGCCCGGCTCGAATTTATTGTGGGCCGGGCTTTTTGGCCCGAATTTAAGCCCGCGGGCCTATAACCACGTCCAAGCCCGTCCGGGGGCCGGGCCGGCCCGTCGGGCCACCTAGCCCATGAACAGGTCTATTTGCAATATTGTACCAATTTATGTTATAATACTATCTCTTGGACTCCACATAGTACTGGTAGTGTTCACTGGGAAATATGTCGATTCCATTAAAATTTCATGTCGCTACCCATGGAAGTGGAAATGGAAATATGTTATGGAAACTATTTGTTGTACTCCACATAGTGTTGGTAGTGTTCATTAGGGAAATGTCAATTCCGGTAAAATTTCGTGTCGCTACCCATGGAAATGGAAATATGTTGTGGAAATATTAGGGAAATTAGGGACATTTTAAACCAGTGATGCTCCACAACTGGTATTGGTGTCCTTCACTGTTCATCGTTGGAAAACAAAGAAACACACAACGGAAAATGCTAGTAATCCACCCAAAATACCTCCAAAGACAAAAAGCCAAATATTTTTCCTTAGCTAGTTAGATTGTTAGAAAGACAACTAAGGCAAAAGTACTACCTCTAGAGGAGGATTGGGTCTGGCGAGGCTGTGGTTGTAATTGCTTAACTCGAAGATCTCTAGTCCATTAAAAATTGCACCATTGTACTCAAGATTTGCTAACGTGTTAAGGTGCAAGACTTGTTGCTGGAATTGTGAGATGTCACTGTGGGAACACTACTATGTTAGGCAAGAGAAAGAATGTTAATTTTTTTGTTCCACTTGTACTGACTTTTTGAATAGAATGTTGAGAAGGAAATATGAGCTTTTCTTTGTATATTTGATAAATTATAGAGGAGATGCCAATTAACACCACACGACACAGAATTCACGAATTGGAGTATACAATAGCACTGTTTACAGAGCTTGACAAAGCCATGGATTGAAGAAGAAAAGTAAAAGGAATGGAGAGAAAATGAGAGGCTGGTGGTGGTTGCTCTTGTGTGACCAGTGGTGGCGGTGCCGGTGGGGGGACTGCTAAGGGTGACCAACGGGGTGGGAGGTTAGAGGCAGAAGCAAGAGCGGAGGGGAGAGGAAGGATAGGGGCTTCACCGTCCCTTTAGACAGGTAAAATGGAACACCTGTAACACGAGTGCTTAATGTAGTGTGTAGGGAAAAAGTGTGGCAGACCCTGATTCCTTATAACTTATTCTTGATAAGAGTACCACCTCAAATTTTTTTTTTTTTGATCAGCTACTGCCTCAAATTAATAGCCAAAATTCAAAATTTATTCTTTGAAGAGAAAAATATGCCCTTATGTGTTAACTCTTTTAATTTCATAATAAGGTACCTTAAATATTTTCACAAGGCTTGTGTCCTGCTATATAAAATAGCCTGTTCAAAAATAACACAAGAGAAGGATTCATAATAAAGAATTACTGGCTATGGGTAGGGAGGTGGTATCTGGGTGTGGAAACCATAGTCGAGGAAGAGTGGGAAGCAAACATCCTATTGATTAGAGTTTATGGTTCATCAATGAACTTGGGGGGGGGACTATGGATGTTGGGAACATATGCAAAGGTTTCCTTAAGGGTGGATTATTTTTTACAAGCAAAGGAAACTTGCAAATGGCTTAGAATGGAAGTTTGTTAGGAGTGGTGCTAGCAATAGTAAACATGGTGTGATGACATTTGTATGTTGTAGCTGTTTAACCGGAGTTCTTGCCAAGTGTGGTGAATGCTGAAGAAGGTATCCCAAATTAATCCCATTGTGGTCAACAATGTCCGCCTTCTCTTCTAGAAGAAAGGGAATGCGGAGGATGGTGAATGATTGAAGCTTTGGCCAATTACATCTTCAATAACATTGGGCACCAAAGTAGCTAAAACAAAGAAGAAATAAGAGGTAGTCGACCTGAGTTGGGTAATCCTTAACAATGGAAGGCCAACAACCAACTAACCTAGAACTAGAGGGAAAGACTTTCAGGTCTTGTTTTGGGAAAGGAACTAGTGGTAGAGGGTGCACTTAGGGATGAAGGTACAGACAAAAGAGCTGAATCTTCGAGGACCATTTGATTAGGTGGTAAGAGACACATACGAAGAAGATTGTACCCATTGTGATAGACAGTAGAGGCAGACATATGTGGGCAATCATAATTTTGAATTTCAAAATCAAGTCTCGAAAGCCTCTGTAAACCATCTCAAAGAGGTTATTAAAGAATTAGGGGAAATCTTAGCTGCCTAAAATTCAAACTCCTCTTTAAGCTAGTTGAACCAGGTGGGCACGCGAAAGCAAAATGAAGGGTTTGAATGACCCAAGATTTGATCAAACTCAGTTTATTGTCATCAAAATTAAGGGCTGAAAAGAACTCCCTTGTTCAACATGGAAGAATGGAGGACCCCTTAGGAATGATGGCCAGGAGAATCACATTGAGCGGCATCACCAAAGGAGAATGGTGTGATAGATGACGTAAATTAAAGAATGGAGAGTTAGGAAACCAAACTTCTTGGTGTCATAACTTGTGAGTGGGGAATGAGAATTCACCACAAAACAATGGTCTTCAAGGAGAGGTTGAGGATATCAGCTCTGAAGGATTGATTGGAGGAATAGGAGGAAGAGGGTGAAGCAATTCGTGATCAAGCTAGACCAGTGGAGAAGAGTTTTAACCGGATAAAGTAGTTTAGTGTGAAGTGCAAGTTAGCCAGACACCGGGATGCAATTGGAAAAGGCTGAGAGTGAAGAATTGATATGCATCAGTTTTTTTGGGAGTTTTAATGCGGTTTAGTTTTGACTGTTATTGGGGTGGAGAAAAGAGTTTGGTGGAGATCTGATTGTTTAGCTTGGTGGTCAGTATTGAGAGAGGGTTGTAGGGTACTAAGGTTTGGCCTTTCGTTTTGTTTTGTTTGTTTTGTGGGGTAATGCCTCATCACCTTGATTGTTTGTGCTATTTTTAGTTTTAATATATTTTTTTGTTTATTACCAATCAACAATGCCCTAGTGTTATATACGATTTATCTTGTGGTTTGTGAAATATTACTTCACAATCATTATGCGTAGTACAACTCTATATGGTTGGTAGACAAAAATCTTGGTCTTATCTGTAAAATTTGTGTTTGATGGTGAACTAGCACACGCATCTGCATGGGTGCACAGGCTGAGGAACAGAAACAAAAAAATAACACATATACAAAATCTAATATAAGAGAGTGAGCTTTTGGGTTTAGAGAAAGTAGTAGAGAGAGGAGGTGGAATTTGAAGGAAAAACAGTTTTGGAGTGAGAGAGAAAGTAGAAGTTTCAGGAATTGGAAAAGTTAAGAGAGGGGTGCACTTAGTAATATTGATCGATCATGTGGTGGAAAAAAAGATGAAGAAAAAAACAGAAATATGAATAAATGGAGAGGGATCACCTGCACAATCTTAGTTCTTTAAAAAATGTATAAAAAATTAAGGTTGCAACTGGGGTTGGGCTGGGTTGAGCATTTGTCAAATTTTATAAGTCTCAAACCCAAACCTGAGCCTGATATAGTTAAAATTCTTCAACTTGGGCAACCTGATTTGCTCCCTATAAAAAATCATAGTGAGGATCACATAACTGGCTGCCTGCTACAATATATAATATTAGATGCGGAGCCTTGAAAGTGCATCCAAGTTAAATTTGTAATGATCAGAAAATTTTGTGGTTAGTTAATCTGAAACTTACCTTGTAAAGAATATAGGCATTTCTCCTTTCTCTACCTGAACTATGAAAATAGAACATTAACTATTGTATTACTGCTTTATTTACAGGGAGTCAAGGATGCAGTTTTTTATTTCATCATAGTGATCTAAAATTGTTCATTATTTGTATATCAGATTTAACTATCTGATGAAATTGGATGGTCATTATATTAAGTTCTGATTGGCCAATTGGAAAGAAAAATATTTTGCTATGATTTTTTTTTTAAATCGAAAAATTCCTTAAACCATTTGTTGAGATAAAACTCTGACTTCCACTTGAGTTCCACGATGTGCTCTTCATCATGAAATTATTTAACATCCAATATTTTTTCTGCATGACAAATCTCATTTTCCAAGCTTTATGTGCATTTACATAATTTGACAGGTCTTCCACTAAAGTTTCAAACTTGCTTCATAAATATTTTTTTGTGTTGTTGGCATTCATGGTTTTGGAATCGCAACTGGAAAACTGGATGAATCTCTTTCATGGTTACCTCTGATGTCTGTTCTACAGGATTTGATAGATTTTTTCATGAAATCGATGGTGAATGAGAAACTTGGTGTTATTTGTAATGCGCACGTGGTTCACGCTGACCTGAGTGAATATGGAGCCTTGGATGAGAAATGCATCCAGCTAGCAGAGCTTGCAGCTACGGCAGTCGATTTCCCAAAGACCGGTAAGGTGGTAACTGTGCCACAAGAGCTAAAGCCTAAAAGGTACCCAGATTTCATGGGGAAGGAGGAATTTCAATCCTACAAGTCAAATAAGATCTTGGGGAAACTCTATCGCAAAATTAAAGATTTTTCTGACGAAGATGTGGAAGAATCTGAGATAACATTTGCAGCTGAAGATATTCCTTATGATGTACATCTTGAGGTTCTGGGATCTTCAGATCATCTTGCAGATGCTTGGAATCTCAAGTGCTTGCATGATGCACAACTCACTACTCTTTTGGGGCAGTACAAGGTGAACCGGGAAGAAGAGGTGGTAACAGGGCATATATGGTCCATGCCAAAGTACAACAGCAACAAACAAGGGGAGCTAAAAGAAAGGCTTAAGAATGCTTATAATGCACTAAAGAAGGAGTTCAGGCAAGCATTTGAGAAAATTGATGAGACACTCCAACTTACGGATGATGAGAAAAACACCATCTATGAACAGAAGGCTTCAGCATGGTACCAGGTTACATACCACCCTAGATGGATCATGAAAACACTGAAGTTGAGGGAACATGAGGATGAAAGCAACCCTGCAATGCTTAGTTTTGCATGGATACCGGCTGACTACTTAGTCAGAATCAAGATCAAGCATCGGGATATGGAAAATGTTGATGCCCGAAAGCCTATTAATGCGCTTGCAAACTATCTGGCTGATCGGATATGATTAGAAACTGGGGCAGTTCCTAGCTTTTGACCTTCTCTCATATTGTCTTTTGTCCTGGCTTCAAGGTCCCACTCTGCCAATAGTCCTTTGTTCCTGGATACTCAATCTGTTCATTATTGTGTTGTAATTACATTTTTGGTGGTTTGAAGATTTACACTTGCAACCAGACATGCGCTTAAATTGTAGTATGATAGGCTAGTCAGAGTTGAAATATTGAATCAAGAACTTGAGATAGAATCATCAAAAAAAAAAAAAGCGTAGGATAGGGATCATTGTTTGGTGCAATGGTAAATAAAATATCTAGCTAATGAGCCTGAAAATGTAGATTCGAGTCTGAGAGCAGCTGCCTTGTTCTAATAAAAACAACGAAAATTTTCCAAAGGTTAGTTCTGTATCCAGGTGGTAGAATTATTGATTCTCCCATTTCACAAATTTGTCTGTTTATAACAGTGACAGGTGGGAGAATCTGATACAATATAAAGAGGGGTATGTGTGTCATAGGTAGGGGGTTTTGCAAAATAAAACCACAAAGAAAAATTCTTTTTTAGATTGTGTTTGGTTTGAAAGAAAAGGCAGGAAAAGGCTGTGTTTCGTTTGTATAGGTTTGAGGTTTCCCTACTTCCCCATTCCCTTTCCTTACCTTTGCTTTCAAACCAAATACAGCCTTAAGGAAAAAGAAAAGTTAATGTTGATATCTTTCATGAATGATTAAAGGCCATTTTTTTGATGTAAGGAGAACGGGAGAAGTAATTACATATTTACATTCTTCAAATTCAGATGTGTCATTGGTAGGCTAATTAGGTCATTCGATCTCTGTTTAATTAGTTTGGTTTGAAATTCAAAAAGCCGCCAAGTGCCGTTTTTTAACTTTGAAGCACCATGCTTGAGAACAAAATCTTGAAAATTGAAACCAGGCAGCAAAACGAACAGAAACCTTAATAATAGACAAAAAGTATACTGTATCCTTTCAAGTGTGGAGCCTTATTGACGACAGTTTTCACTGAAGTCTAGAGAATTCATCAATCTAATATTTTACAACAAATAGGTTCAGAGTGTATACCCAATTATCCACCTATTAAAACAACCATGCAATATATTTTACACAACTTTGTTAACGTATCAAAGGTTGGGGATATCAATATCAGAGCGAGAAGTGAAGAACTGAGCCATGGGCTTCTGAGTTAATATCTTCACTGAAACAGGGACGAAGCTCCCCCATTAGATATCAGCAGGAGGTTTTAACCTTATCAGTCTTCTGATTCTATCTTTGTCTGTGTTCTCCAATATCCCCTTCAGAATGAAAAGAACAAGGCCGGTGTCAGACTGATTAACATTGATGGAGATGTTAATGGTGTATTAGCGTACAAGGGAATGGTGAGAAAAAGGAAAAATGATGCATTGGTAACCACACGAGTAGCCAACATAGAAATTTGTGATAAAAGCTTTCATGACAAAGATGACAATCACAAGAACAATGATGAAACAAAAGATACCACTTGATTCGAAATCTGAGACTGTCAAATGTATTTATGTACTATGGTTTCTTTTCCCTTTTTGCAGCTCTCTGCTGTTGCGGGTTGTATGTTTTACTGTTACTGGTTGTAAATTTTCCTGACTAGAAGGTTGAAACCTAAGTAGATGCCAAATGGCAAGATTAGCTGCTGATAGGTCTATGTCTGGGTGCAATAAGTTTGTAGGTGAAAATCAGTTACATGGAGAAGTAAAAAATAATCTCTAGTGGCTATACCCAGTGCAGAGGCAGATGTCCAGCCATGTCTCACAGCGCTTGTGAGTACTTTTGGTTGAATGATGAGTTTGGATATCCTATAGAGGGACCCGTGAAACTTTACTTGCTAATAAAACAACAAGTTATTGTTCATAGAACAGTACAACCTGATAGAATCAAGCATATTGAAGTGGATATGCATTTCATCCACGGGAAGGTTGCAATAGGGGAAATTTGTTTGCCATTTTGAAGACCAAGGATCAGCTGTCTGATATTCTCACCAAAGCTGTTGGACCAAGAGTCCAGATTGATTAGTGTACTTAACAAGCTGGATATGTATGAACCAGTTTGAGGGTTGAACTTATGGGTTTCAGTTAGATTGTTATGTTCTAGAAAACCTGTTGAAATCTTGGGTCTTATTGGGTCAGATGACTCGGATCAAAATACTTTGGTTTAGGCTCTGTGATCTTAAGACCTTATAAAGTCTCTCACTGAAGTTATGGTTCTTTTATAAAAACCAAGCAGGGCTGATAATGGATCAACCCTGATCAGGCCCTACGCCTACTTGAGAATATTGAAGGGACTATTAAAGTTACAGCAAGAAAATTGTCAGAAAAAAATCAAGAGAAACTAAGTATTGAACTAGAGAGACTTCAAAGGAAACAAATTAAAAAGATGGGTGTATGGACTGGTCTATTTTCCTTTTAAGCCTCTTTTTCAACTGAGGGACAACTCTCTGTTGATGGTGTTCTTGATGGGGCCATTGTTGGGAGCAATGGTAAAATGTATCTCTTCTTGGTGGTGAAGGTAGGAAGGTGGGGTTTAATATATATGGTATCGGGGTGGTCAACTGAACCTAGAAAGGTGTGGTCCTCTGAAGTCATTTAGGGTAGGGCTGTAAACAGAAGGGATTTTAAATATTATATGTCATAAATAAGTTAAACTAAACAACGGCCATGACATTATAATTATTAATAAAATGAACTAAAACGCCTTTGACATTATATATCATTTAATAAAATGAATTAAAGCTAACTTCCACCAGACTTCAATCTATGACTTCATAGTAGATAAGGGTAATTAAACCAACTTTGTTAATAAATATGTCAGGTGGGACTAATGTTTTAAAATGCATGTTTTGGGTACAGTAAGCTCATAAGAAAGATTCATTTTGTGGGCTGTGCCTCGCCCGAACCTAGGTGCACCTCTCTTAACTTGTTGCTATATTTTGATGAATTAACCTTGAATTTATGTTACAAACACAATTTGCTATTTTGTAGTGTGTAGTTATGATCCTTAGAGTTTAAACTGTTTAGTCTATTAGGGCTTGAATTACAAGGCTAAAACTTTCATTTTAATAACATGATACTTTAACCAATTGACTATTTTGAAATATTTTATTTCTTTCAGAATTTGGATTTTCTATTCTTGTATGTTTAATTATTTCTTTTTTTTTCTTTTACTGAAGTGGTGCTCACATTGCTCGGGCATATACCTGACCTTATAACCTTGCATTTGAGGCTTTTGCTGTGCTTCTTGCTTTTAAACCTTTGGGTGCCACAAATATAATTTGGATAAATTGTTTCAGGTCCAGCAGGCCGTTGAAAAAAAAAATATTTCCTAATCTGGGATCACATGGTTGACAAAGAACATGAATGTTGTATAGATGTCTCATATTTTGCTGATATAATTTTATGTAGCTGGGTTCCTATATGGTGCACCACGACAAGTTTTTTTGGGGTCAGTGGAGCATTTTGATAATTTTACTAGTATCAGGATATATATTCTCAGTTCAGGCTCTAATTGTAATAAAAAAAACAGAGGGATTTTATGGAATTTGGGAAAGAACTCGATTAGGGTTGTATTCTTGTTCTCTGAGAATAGTGAAATTCTTTGCAGGGCTCCATAGACGTAGGCATACTGCTGAACCATGTAAAATCTTGGTGTTCTTGTATATTTTCTTCTCTTTTATGTGTGTGATTTCTTCTGTTTTTGTGGTTGCACGTTCACAATGATACTTAATTTTTAGGATTTCCAAATATAGTATTCCTGAATCAAAGATTTGGATTCCTTTTCACTCCATAGTGTTAAAACTTGGAATTAGAATAAGAAAATAGCACCAGACTCCTAAAAGACTAGAACCAGAGATGTGGCAAGTAGGAAATTTCCAATATCAAATTGATTTATGGATCTAAGATGCATCCCTTACCTTCCAAACAATTTCATCCAAACACAAACATATCTTTCCATACTTGTCGAGAAACAGGCGCTCAGTTGGTGGTTTTCCACATACATCCTTCACACATGAGGTTATAACAAAGATGACTTCTGCCACTTGAAAACCAGATAGAAATAATGATAAGTGACAAAAAAACAAAAAACAAAATCTTTTTGTTAAGAACAAACTAGTATTTTCCCAGGGATGGAGAAGCTGTCACATTGATCAGGTCCTAGCTATCCTCACCCAAACCTGCAAGTGTGTGTATTCTTGCACTTGCAGGCATTACAGCTTCTTCTCATCCTTGCACCATTATTCTCTTAAATAGAGACAAGAAAGACACTTACAAGCAAGTTCATCATATTCATCCTTGCCAACAACATAGATACAGACATCACCAAGAACTGAATAAACAATATAAACTGACCTGAAAAGGAAGAGAATGAAAGGAAGACAGTTGAACGAACAAAATATTAGAAACACATTAAACTATGGTCATATAAAATCTGAAATCAGCATATTCTGCAAATCATACCAAGTGACTTTCAGGTGGTAAAACCACATTAACTTAAAGTACCCTTYCCAACTTTTTTTAATCAGATTTCTCTTTTGAAAGCCCCATTTTTGCATTATTGAGAACTTCCTGTGGGAGGGTAGGGATGTCACATTTATCAGAAGCCATGGTTTAAGTCCAAGCTACCAACCAGTGCTTACCTCCACCAGTAGCTAATTTAAACTTTGAATGTCGAATCACCACAAGCTTAACCAAAGTGCTCATTTTCCGCAATTAGTTTTATCCACTCTAATGTGTGGCCAATAATTCTGTTTAAGCATCCTTTGTTTTCCTTCAAAATGACTCCTGGTCCACTCCCTCTAAATTTTGTAAATAATCAGGCTTGGAAGCATACCAACCAAATAAACATATTGATGTTGCTTTGACATTTGACCATACCAATATAAAAATCAATCATCAATTCACCATTGGTTGGGGTATAAAGAATTGCTGGTCAAGTTTTCTTGCAGAGTAACTCCAAACCTTCTCTTTTATAATTTATAATAAATAAAAGCTCAATAAAGTGGAGAGAGAGTGAGGTAATGAGAAATTACCGAAAAAGGATAAAACACCCTAAATACTGCATGCCAACATACCCAACAATTAAAAAAAAAAAAAAAAACAAAACAAAACAAGAAGGTTACATTCAACATATCTAAAATTATTTAAAAGACAACACTAACAGAGCTATAACTTTTGGACTCAACACCCTGCTCAAAACCAATATATCTTCAGATTAGTAGCCAACAATCCACCCCTTGCTGACTCAACAGACCCTTCAAACTTATCCCCTTGAAACTGAAACCACTAAGAGACCACCACACCATTCATAAACAACCTTCTCAAATTTCAACTTCTCCCCTTCTTCTATCTCCAAAAATATTCTTCTTGTATTTTCTTCTCCCTCTAAATATAATAGGCCCACCCCTGAGCTGAGCCGGGCCAAATATCTGGCTATTCGAGCTCGACTTGGAAAAGTGTTGAAAATGGGAATGTCTCTAATATTATACATTCGTTATATTAAACCAAAATAAATGTGATAAATGACAATGGTTTTTATTAATGATGAAAATGATTAAAAATTCAAAAAAAAAACAGAAAAAAGAGAACTAAATCATTAATATCTAACTAGTGACCTGCATAGTTTTCAAGGCGCCAAGGCGAGGCTAGGCGACAGGGGGGCACCTTGTCGGTTGTCGCCTAGGCAATGGAATTTTTTTAAGTGAAACCATATATCCTAGGGTAGTTCCCTAGGTTCCATAACCATCTTTCCTTAATAATTATCCATAATTTTCATAAGGGAAGTATAAATTTCATGTTTAAGTCTAGAAAAATCAACATTTTATGAGAGAAAAAGAAGAAAGTAAAGAAAATTCAAAAAATATAGGGGCTGAACCCTACTTTTGTTATAGGAAAAGAAGAAAAAAAATGTGTTGATTAGACAAAATTTTAAGTTCTTCCCTTGCTTATTGGTTCAGGTTTTCAAATCTTTGAGGGTTCAATCAAGGATCAAAATTTCAATACGATACAACCCGTATCAGGTGTATTGTATTGTATCTCTGGGGTCCCGATACACCTGTTTATAGGTGTTTTCAGGAACCCATTTTTTTAAATAATATATATAACTATATTTAAAAATGAAATTGAAATAACTAGCAAATTTGACCCAAAGGCTAAAGGGTATAAGAAACCTTACAGTGTATAAAGAAATGACCAACAGACTCTGGACTTCACAGTATAAACATCTTAAGGCCATGGCAATATCCTTGAGTTATTCCAAAATATCAACTTGAATCTGACCATGGAAGACTTTCCAGGAGAACACTGATGTTCTATTTATTTTTTTATCAGTCACTGATCGTAAGTACCAATATCTTATATGGGACATTTTGGTTTCCAGATCCAACCAGTCCAGTTGACCTTTCCATCCAAGTCATGAAAATTGGAGTTGCATTATCTAGTGAGATGATGCCAAAATAATATGATAAATTGCAATAAGAGATATCTCTATATTTATAGTTAAAGTTATAAATTTCAGTATAAATTATATATATATATATATATATATATATATAAGTAATAAAACAGTAAACATCTGAAAAATAAGTAAGTTTCAACGAGTACCAAATTTTCTAGAATATAATTCTTGCAAGAAGTATCAAGCTGAAAAAATGAAGGCACAAATGTTCTTGGGTAAAGATTGTAAAGGCCTAAATTGAATCCAGTCTAAATAGTGTCATTATACCAACGACTTCCTGATTAGCAGGCAGGAAAATATGTACACAGAAATGTTCTCTTTAATTCATCACATTTTATGCTTATAAAATTTATTATAATATATAAGATGCAACTTGGCCATGTCAAAAATAAATAATTGAATTAAGATATTAAGTATATTTTTAAAAGAGAACTTAATTGGAGGGAGGGATATTGCATACTTGTGTGAAGCAACAAAAAGCTCTTCATTTTTGGCACCTTTTAGATTATCCGATCCCAACTTAACTAGGAAAGTACGCCAGTGCAGCCGCTCCTCAGCTGGAACCCCATGAAAGCTGCAAGGTGTAAACCATAAGTATATCCTCCAATATATATAAACTATGTTGTTGTGCTAAGGAAAATCAGGTTGAGCAGCTATCTTTGTTGTAATATTACTAATTCCATTCTAAGTTGAAGGAAAAAAGAAAAAGAAAAAGAAAAAGAGCTGATTAACAAAATAATTGTACCCATATTTGGTGTAGTGCTGAAGACTTTAACTAAAAAAAAATGGAGGCAATATACATTTTTGATAAATAAAAGAATGGAATAGAATATGGATTGTGCCAAGCACCCTTTGACATTTAGGCTAGCAGGGCATAAATTGCTTTCTTGGGGGCCACCTTGTTAACCTCTTTCCTATCCAATGCATCAGCTAGCTATTGGCTGATAGGTTGTTCAGTTGTTCTCAATTATCTAGCCATTTATTTTTCTTCTCTCATGATGTTTCTACATTCCCAAGAAGCTGTGCTGTTACTTGAACCATTTTACCACTACCACACTCTACAACTAGATCTCTATAGTTGAGAGATTTTCCCAGCCTTAAGACATGCAGCACTTCTAAGTGCTAACAACTAACAATTCAACCCTTGTTGGATCACCCTAGTCAATAGGTCCAAAAAAAAGCCAGGATAGCACCACCACCCAAGAGCTACACTCTACCACTAGATCTCTAAAGTCTATAGTATGCCTGAATTTCCTATATTGTCAAGGCTACGTGATGCAGGCATGAAAGCAAGAAATCAGTTTTCTCCCGAGTACTCATCCAATGGCAATTACATAATTTTTGGGTGTTTTGGACATTAACATTTTTAATTTTTTTTTCTAAATGTGTTTTCTACTTTGTTAGTGTCTTAGGAGTAGAGTTGGTTATCTTAAAGGATCAAACTAATTCATAGTCATATTGCAGAGGTTTTAGAATTTTGAAAAGTTGAAGAAGCATTCGTGTTATTTTTCTTTCTTCCTATTTTCTAGGGTCAAACCTTGTCTGATTTGCATGATTTGCTATTATTAAATAGATAGTTGAGTTACTACCCACAGAGACCAAGATCTTGTAAATCTAACAGGTCCCAAGAGAGTTATTATCATTTTATTGATAGGTGTCAATCCATGACAGGATTTAGGTCTTCTATTTCTTTGAGTCAGCTTGGAGTTGTTTACAGTTTTTTAGTAGGTTAATAAAGTTTTGTTAAAGTTATTTTAGGAGACAAAGTACTTATTTGAGTGTTTCTTTGGGTTACCTATAGGGTTGCCTAAACGTTAAAATAGTTAGGATTTGTTTTGAAATAGTTTCTTAGTTGAAACTGGAGTTTGTAAAGAGAGATCCGAGCCCTCATGTTGAGTCTATCATCATCATCATCATCCATGCCTTATCCCAACTGTATGGGGTCGACTAAGACAAATCAGGATCCATATAATGAGTGTTTGGCAAAATTTTTAGTGTTTGCTTCCAACCTGACACACCCTCCTTCTTTATCTGGGCTTGGGACTGGCAGTGTAAGACAAGCTCACACTGTAGGTTGAGTCTATAAATATGGTAGTTGAATTTAAAGATTTAAGGGAATAAAATTTTCTTTTGATGTTACCTGTAGTTAATAGCTTGATCTTCTTTCTCTCTCCTTTTCTGTTAAAGGTGTACCATTTCTTCTCTTTCTCTTTTCTATTCATATTTGAATCTCTCCTCTCATATTTCAGATCCTTGATTCTCCCTCTTCTTCCCACCAGCTCACCCACCCAATTAGGACTTTCTCTCCTTCTTCTCCTACATCACTACATCCATCACAATTTAATTTGATAAGGTTACACACTACAAGACCCAATTTGTGAGTGTCCTAATCCTGGATGAACTCTTAAAGAAGAAAAATGCTTTGCCATCCTCTAATGATGTCATTTGTGGACAAAGGGGTAAGAGTCTCCAATGATATTACCTAACCCACCACCTTCATAAAGATGTTTTCTATTGGAGCTTCCCTAGTTTGGTTCTTGTCTCTTCAAATTGCAGTAATTCTCTCTCCTCCCAAATTGTCCAAAGAAGTGCTACCCTTTACATCTCTATAATACCTCCCCCCTTCTGTATGAAATACTTACTAGATACAAACGATCAAGATGTTAATAAATTATATATAGTAAGTAGGTCACCAATTTCCTCGCATATAAAAGCATGTACAAAAAATTAGCTAAAAAAATCTGAGTGAGCATTCATTCAAGTTTAACAAACCCTAATTAATATAGACAAAAACAAGCAAAATATGATAATTCAATGAAAATTAGCTAAAATAGTGAATCACATTGGCGATGAATGTAAGAGAAGAGATCTGCTGTTAAGATGATATATCATAGAAATGTACAGAGGAGATGCTACCTACCGTTCGACGAGGATGTTACCCTCCAAGTTGAAGAAGAGAACAGCGAGCAACATTTTTCAGTCGATTCTCTCGTTCGATCTTCTTCAGAACCTCTTMAGTTTTCAGTGAAGTTTTACGATAAGGGAAACTTCCCGATTAGTACCCCTGTAATTTGGGCCTAATGTCATTTGGTCTCAAATTTTAAAATTTTAAAATGTGACAATTTAATAGGAAAAATTTTCAATTAGTACTCTGTACTTTGAGCATATTGTTACTTTGATCCCCAAGTTTTAAAATGCGACAAGTTAGTACCCGAACATTCAAAACGTGTCAATCCAGTACCTACCGTTAATCAGCTATTAACTAGCCGTTAAATGGCATTTGAAGAAAGACACAAATGCTCTTCCAAGTGTCATCTAATTTTCTTTATCAACCATCCAAACAATGACAAAAAATTAAGTCCTACATCCTTGCCTCTTTTATTCAAGAAAGTTGGGGTCCAGAATGCCCATTGAGACTAGACCTGTTCATGGGCCAGGCCGGGCCGGGCTCGGGCCGGGCTTTTACTCTTTATTAACAGAAAAATGTTAGGCCCGAGCCCGAGCCCGGCCCTAATAAAAAGCCCGAAGCCCGACCTAATAAAAGAAATTCGAATTTTTCCTATTCAAATGGACATTATCTATTTTAATTCAGATGTTTTTCCCCTATTTAAATGAACATTAGGCCTACAAGTGAATCAACAACCTTCTTAAACCAAAAAATTTATTCAAATGGACATCACACAGGACTTTTACTTACGTTTAACTATAGGTCGGGCCGGGTCGGGCTCAAGCCAAATAATTTTGGCAAAGCCCGAACTCGGCTCAAATTTTATGCGGGCCGGACTTTTTGGCTCGAGGTTAAGCCCGTGGGCCGAAAAGCCTGTTCAAGCCCATCCGGGGGCCGGGCCAAATTGAGACATGATTGATAAAGAAAGTTAGATGACACTTGAGGGGCATTTGTGTTTTTTTCAAATGTCACTTAATGGCCGGTTAACAGTTGGTTAACGGTAGTTACTTGACACGTTTTGAAAGTTTGGGTATTGAATTGTCGCATTTTAAAGTTTAGAGATTAAAATGGCACTAGGCCCAAAGTACAAGATAGTAATTAGGAATTTTTTCAATTTAATATCCAAACTTTTAAAACATGTCAATCCCAAATTGAAAGTTGGGATCACCATAATGCCCATTTAGACATGACTCAAACTTTCTTAAATATAAGAGACAAGGACTTGAGGCCTTACTTTTTTATCAATGTTTAAATGGTTGATAAAAAGAATTAGATGAAAATTAAAGGTTAATTATATCTTTTCAAATGTCATTTAATGGCTGATTAGGACTGATTAACAACACATACGGGATTGACACATTTTGAAGGTCCGAATATCAAAACTGTCGCATATTAAAATAAAGTGACACTAATCGGGAAATTTCACTTTTCCATAGATGGAAACTGAATTGAAAGCTCACCACAGCCTAGAAGGAATCTTCCTGCAAAAAAGGACCCAGAAGGGTGATTATACATGAACTACTTTTTGTCATTACAAGGAGTTGCACAATTATTAAGAAAACTTCTGTCAGGGCTTGGGTCACGTGGCACCTTCTGATTGGTGGACTGGAGCCCTTTTAGCTTTAATTATTTTGAAAAAATTGAGGCCTAGGTCAATAAGTTTATTATTATGCTCTCTTAAATGAAAGGGTTGAAAAGTATTCATTTGGGTCTGGGTCCGGGTCTGGCCTAGCCAGGTGGAACAGCTTAGCCAATAGCCACGCAAAATCCCTCCTTAGTTCTAATTCATTGATTGTGGCCGGATGAACAAAGTTGAATTTTGGAAAGTTCCAATTAATTAAGTCATTTAGGTGAAGTGGATCTGGTCCAAAAGAGAATTTGATTTTTTTGAAAATTTGATTGTAGGAATGGTAATTTCTACCTACCTGGTAGGTTTTCATCCTTACCCTTCCTGATGGGGTAGTTTTTTTGCTTAAACGATAGGTTTTGGGATTCTACAATCCATACAGGTACAGGTAGGATATGGTATTAGGCTAAACCCGACCCTCCCTAATTCGCATATTATAGAAAGCATATAAACTTTTTGTACTAAATATTGRATTTAATAATATTTAGAATTTTATGTGAATGATAATTGATAGTTTGTGTTTTTCACATGTCTTAATAAAATAATTAGAAATCTTGATGTTTATTTGTGTTGTTTTACTTATTTATTGCTTATATATGACAAGAAATAATAGGAAATTAGATGCAGGTTTTAAACCCAACCTGTCTCTACCCTTAAATGTGGGGAGGGTTCTGCACTTTCATGTGCGGGTAGGGTTTGGATCCTCAAAATCCAACCCCCTACGGGTTATGGGGTGAGTACGGGTTGGGAGGTGGGTAGGGTCTAGAATTTACAAAACCCTCCCTGAACCCATCCCATTGCCATCCCTACTTGGTTGGTTTAGTCAAATGGTGAAAAATGGATCCTTGGGTAGATTAGACACATAATGATCCGAGGTCTTCGACTACTCTGGTCTTTTTTTAGCTTTTTTTTTATTAAGATAAGCTGACCTATTATAAATTGATTACTTAACCAGAACCAGGAAGGATGCATTTCACGGACTGTTCCAACTTTTCTGTTTTTTTAGCATGGTTCAAAGTACCAATACATATCAATTTTCAGGGTCATCAAAATAGTAAATAGTAAATACTAAGATTTAGGACATGTGGTCATGTTCAATGCTTAATAGTCTCTCATAGATGGCCATGTTCAAAGCTGCACACCTAAAACAATTTTTATCGATAAATATCACAAGCCCAAATCTTCTAAAAGAAAGGGAAATTCCTGATAAGTACCTTGTAATTTAGGCCTTATGACAATCTAGTATCTGAACTTTCAATTTGCAACAATCCAATACATGTCGTTAATTTACCATCAGTCAAGACCATCACGTGAGATCAGATGCAGTTTAAATAATTTCATAATGCCAAAACTAACTTTTATGGTAATATTCGAACCATTTTACCCTTTTTCTTTGATCATAGTCTACTCTGAAACTCTTAGGAGAGATAAATACAAGTTTGGGACAGCAATAAAGCCGTCTATTTCTGACGTCGGAAGTCGGACTTAAACGGATAGGTGAACACCTCTTCCTCCACCCCGCAGCGCTAAACTTTGATTAATTGATAGCAGCAATAGAGAAAGAAAAAGTCGTCTATCTTCGACTGTAGTCTACTCTCACCATTTAACTCAATTAGGAACTAGTTGATACAATGACGAAGAAGGGTATTGCATCACGTATTTCAACTTGGGTACCCCTTAAACTGGTTTCAAGAGAAGGATACAATGGTACTGCATCAGAAAGTGGCGAAGAAGGGCATTGCATCTTTCTCTTGAAACCGGTTCCCACTTGCAGAGTAGACCGACGGTGAGTTAAACTGGTCCCCACTGCATCAAAAAGTGGCGAAGAAGGGTACTGCTCAAACTAGTTTCGAGAGAAAGATACAATGGTTGATACAATGACGAAGGTGTATGAATTATCTTTGATACAATGACAAAGGTGTATGAATTATCTTTCATCACATATTTCAACTTGGGTGATGTCGAAGTTCGCTTGCTTGAATCATAGGAATGTTGCAGATGATCCTGGTGAGTTTTATCATGTTTGAGCCCTTGCTTTCAACCAGCCAGTGGGAAGCTTCATTGGCTCTTAGAAGGTGAGCCGCTCTTAGAAGGTGAGCCACAGGAAGATGGAGTCATAGTTCTGACACAGGAGCCCGAACCCCAACCTTGTTGTGCATCTTCTCTTGGTTCCCCAGTTCAGGTACATAGGGACGAACTCGGTGGAGTGAGTGTTGGCTGCTTTCAGGAGAAGGGGGCTGTGATTTTGCTCTTGAAATGGAATGGTCTCGGTTGTGGAGGCGGAGGAGAGAGTTAGAAGGGCAAGGAAAAAGACTGAGGGTGGAGCCAAAGATTGTGCTGTGGCTTCTGTTCATGTTGATCTTATTCTGAAAAAATAGTAAAAAAACCATACCTTGGTTGTCTCCTCCGGCGTCAACAACAAGAGATCGTCTTCTCCGACAACAGTTGAGTTAAAAACAAGGGGTACTAGCAGAAGATGCAATTTATTCTAGTGATTTCTTCCAAAATACACGAAGAAGATATTCGTGCAACACCGTCTGGTGTGTGACTCATCGATTTCAACTTTTCCAGCAATGTATTCTGCTTGACATCATCGGCGGGAGGAACTGCCGAACTGGTTTCTTTGGAACTTCAGGTCATTTAGTGAATAAACAGTGGTTCCCACTTTCATCATTTCGAAAAATAATTCATACATTGGTCAAAATCGCAGGTGGCTAATTATGTCTTTTTGCATTCTGAGTTCTGACCCGGATCTGACTCAACCCAACAATGACCCTAGGAGTGCTATCACCAATGTTTATAAAGTTAACTTCAATGGACCCATGACAACTCAGTCATACAAACTCTTAAAATGGAACTTGGGCAATGGTTTTAACAAGATATCCATATAAAAGAGAAGACAATAGAGGAAAAAAGAAAAAGCAAAAATGGCAAAAATTCCACATTGATCCTCCAAGACATAATTGCATCCTACCAATAGTTTAATAGCATCATTGTACCTTGTTCAAAAGAAATAATTGTAAAACGAAGTCAATAAAGAAACATGTTGGCTCACCCAAAGGGTGACTATATCGAAGTAACCAGCTCATATTACAATAGACAAGATTCCAGCATGACATGAAATGGTTATTGATTAATTTTCCTGTTTTGGCAGAAGAGAAGCCAGACTAGCCCTCCAGCCAAAAATTAGCGATGGAAATTGCTTTTTGTGAAGCAGAGCTGCCAAACCTACTGGTGAGCTGTTACTCCGACAAATCTCTTGCTTGGTATTCATCTCAGAGGACCTGTATCAAAATCTCCACAATAAACAAGTTCCTAAATCAAAAGATTATTTCACATCCATGGTTCACATACAGAGACACCCTGGTAAAGAAACCATATTGTCCATAAGAATAACCAAGCCATAATTTGAGAATTTTATTTTTGCTATCGACTGTAGAGGTGCTTACAATACCCAACCATCGAAACCCCAATGAGGATCGCAGCCTCATCAACAATCTAAAACAAGTCATTCATTCTATGGCTACAGAGTTGGGAATTTGGAACTCAATTCCACAAAGCATGGACACATGATCAAGAACTGAAAAGAAAAACAATAAGAATGGGGTATTCACTAATATGTAAGATTTTGTTTCATCATCACCACTAAGCCTTGTCCCAACTATATGGGATCAGCTACATAAATCATGTTTAGCCATTCTGTTCTGTTTCACCAATATGTATAATATTGTCTCTAAAAGCTAAAAAAGAACTCCCACATCAGCAAATTCATATTGTTTTTGCTGATGTGGCAATTGTTTTTTTGCATTGAAAATATCATACATATTGGCAAACACCCCTTAAATCATCTTGCAAGTAAAAAGAAAAGAAATAGGGAGCTTAAGTCTGTCTTCTCTATTCCAAGCATCATGATGCAGTTTCTGATAAATTTACATAAAAGGAAAATTCTATAAAACAGTTATGAGGGCTATGTTGTATGGAGAAGAGTGTTGGGCAGTTCAGAAACATGTCCAGAAAATGAATGTGGCAAAAATGCAAATCTAAGATGGATGAGTGGAAAAACTAGAAAGGATAGGATCATGAGTGAAGTTATCATTTGGAACCTACGAGTAGCTCCAATAGGTGATAAAATGAGAGAGAGTAGACTAACAAGGTTTGGGCATGTGAATAGAAAACCACTAATTGTGCCGGTTAGAAGAAGTAATTTGTTATACATGAAGGGGCTAAAAGAGCTCAGGATAGACCAAAAAGGGCATGGGTAGTAGTAAGGAATGATTTAAGCACTAATAATTTAACAGTGGATATGCCTTTAAATAGAATGGATTGGTGAAGCAGGATTCATGTAGCCAATCCCAAATAGTTGAGATAAGGCGTGGATGATGATGATTCACTTAAAGTTACAGTTAGTTATCCATGAAATCATATCAGATAGAAAAGAGTTCTCTGCACTTGGCACAACACCACATATCAAAGAACAATGAGAACATCTTTTTTTTGATAGAGAGAATGTGAACAGGACTAATTATTTCATTTGAGGGTTTTTCTTCCTCTCTTTCCCTTTTTATTGGGGGGGGGGGGGAGTGAGTTGTTAAATGTTGAGGGGAGATTTGATCCTAAGGCTGTGTTTGGTTGCAATGCAAATAAATTTGCACTGATACAAAACCATGGCAGTGCAAATGATTTGAGTGTAAATTTTGGCCTATTTTTGCTTCAAATTTTAGCTTATTTTATTTGATTGCAGTACAAATGAAATAAATTAAAGCATGAAGCAGAATAAAGTAAAATCTAAAACAAAATTAAACAAGAATTTGCATTTTTTACATTTGGACTCCCATGCATTTGTACTTGTATAAATAAATTTGCACTGCAACCAAACACAGCGTAAGAGTTGGGTTTGACATCCTAATGTAGTCCCAACCTACTCCCCAAAGTCCAGCCATCTTTTTTTCCATTTCTGTGAAAGTTTCCTCCTCGGGAAAGGTTCTACATAAACCCCATGGGAAGGGTCGCATACCACAAATACAAAGAACAAAGATAAAGATTTTACCAACTGGTTAGTTGGAAATGTGTCTGATAAATTCTTTTTTTTTTTGATGAATAAATCTGATCAATTCATATTGATCAGCTATTTTCACCCTGAAGTGCAAAAGATAAATATAAACTTTGAGGTGAAGAGAAGCGACCAAATGGTCTCATAAGAAGAATATGCTGGATGGTTGGGAATCTCGGATTATCAACTATTGGTCCTAATATGAAGTATGAAAGGTAACCCAGCAACTAAAGGAAGGACCCAGAGAGAGAGGAACAAGAATATTGCACTATAAATAGTAATGGTTCCACTTCAAACCTTGAAATCAAAGAGAGAATAGGTAGATACATACAGAGATGGCACTGAGCCTTCGCATGCAAATGTTGATATTCCCTGCCGTTGCTTATGCTTGGGATTGGCTGTGCATAGCACGTACACTCTTCCACGACGTTTAACTGTCCGACAGAATTCACACAGCTTCTTCACAGATGCCCTTACCTTCATGACTGCTGAAGATAAAATTCATTGATCTATCAGTTATCATGTCCAGATACTGAAAATAATACATATTATCACCAGATGGAAATAAAGAAACATACACAACACATTTATGAAAACAATAGTACAATGATATCTAGTGTATAAGGCATGCTTTTTAAAAGCAAATAAAACCCACGAGTATCTAGTGTACAGCTTCCAAATCTAGTAAAGAGAAGGTCACTATCCACACACCAAAAACTTTGAGCATGTGAAGACGACCATTTTTTAGTCTAAAAACTATCACCTTTTATGCTCTTTTACCTAAAACTTAGCATGACATTACTCTCATCAAATCTACATAACCCTCCCAGCTTACTTCTTTTCCCTGTTTAGAGCACCGGCCGAGTTGATAAAGAAAATTGGGAAAAAAATCATTAGGGGCTTCTTTTGGGAAGAAGTCATCTATTAAATTCAAAGAATGTAACAAACAATAAGGAGAGAGGGGTTTGGGAAATTAGTTATGAAGGTTTCCCATTGAGAGAAATACCTAAATGGATTCATGGTTTGAACTCCAATGGGTGAAATTCAGGTGCTTGTTGGAATCTAACCTAATAGGAGCCCTTGGAAGGCTCTCATGACCATCTTACCAATTTTTTTTCAACATATTAGATATGATCCTTGTGAGTGTTGGATAACGACTGACTTGGATTGAAATGGATTCGCCACCTATCAGTTTTAGGAAATGGAGGTGATGGGACGTCCGGGAATGAATTTCAAAAACGTTTTTGTTTTAATAGTGACTCCAAAGCCCGATGCACCAGCTAACCAGTCTAGGCAAGACTTGGATGGGAGAGGGAAGGGGTTAGCCACCCCTCTCTTAGGTCCAATTAGGTGGGGCTCACATGGAAATCCAAACAAGCACAATCACAAATAAGTACTCATTTAAATAAACTAGAAACATCAATAATAGAAGAAAGCAAAACAAGCTAAGAACAAATCACCACAAGAGAATTCCCCTAATTATTATTATTTTTTTATTTATCTTTTTTTTTTACTTTTTTATCATTTGTTTGTGTTATTCTCTTATGGAACTCAAATTGCATTGTTATTTTACGGAATTACTTTTACTTATTTCTCTTTTTTTTTTCTTTTCTGATTTTTTGATTTTTATATATTTTTTTACATCATTTTTTTATTATTGTATCACTTTCCACTTACTCATTTCCCTTATCACCTAAATATAGCTGAATTTATTGAACTAAACTCTCCTCTCCTTTGCCCAATTTACTTTTTTTTTTCATTATTTCCTTTGATGATTGGACTAATTTGCTCCTCTTGACTGACCACTTTTCCCATTTTGTCAACATACTAAAAGATCACCTCTGCTTCAATGTTTCATCCCTATCCTCATGCTTTATTTCCTTTCCCTTTTTTTATCCCTGCTTTTTATTATATTACTTTTTACAGCTTGGAAGATGAGATAACCAGCAAGCCCAAAATCCTTCACCTCAGCACCACAAGCTAAAAACCCAAAAAAAAAAAAAACTAAAAGATAATCCAATTCTAACAGATCTAAACAACCAGAATGAAGAACTAAACAGTACTTAATCTGCAATATAACAATCCGATTCTAAATAGCAAAACCCATCAGATCTCAGATTCAGATCGACTCAGAGCAAAACAAACATAACAATCTAATGTAACAAAATGACTGAAAGAAAAAGATGTAATAGGATGCCTGATTTATTAGCTACTTTATTCAAACAGAATTCGACCTTCTATGAGAGAGAAAAAGAGATCGAAATGAAACCAATACTATCACTATCAGTAGTGCATTCAAATAGAAAATCCTAACCGGTCTTCTCTCTCTCTCTGAATGGTTAACAATCAAAACACAAGGAGAAGACTGGCATATCTAGGCGGATTCCAAATAGTTGCAGAGAAGCCAGTTCGGCAGATGCTTCATTACCGGCTTCAACAAGCACTCGGATGCCCGCTACTCTATAGCCAAATGATTAAAGAAAAGAAAAAAAAAACAGAAAACAGAGGAAAGGGCCCACGTGACAACATAAAAGGTCACGCGGGCGGGTCAGGTGGGTGTAACACCGAAAGGAGGCTCCACTTGAAGGGCCCACGTGATAACTTAAAATGTCACATGGGTCAGGGTATGGGGACTCTTCTTGGAACGCTGATAGACGATGATAATGGTTTATCATTGTCCCAAGTCGCGAGAAGGGGGGGAATGCGTGCAGCGGCGGAAAATGGAGAAGAAGTTGGATCTGCAGTGGGTTCCCCGACGAAGTCTGGAGGAGCCTAGCCCCTTGCAACGCTCCTCAAAGAGGCCAAATCCAAGATACGCTAGGGAAAGAACTGAAGAGAGAGAAGAGAAGGATGAAGGCTGGGTACAGTGCAATGAAGGAGAAGAAGAATCGGAGGACTTTTCTGATGATGGTACTAGCATGGGCAGTGTAAATGATGAAAGTAGTTGTGTTGGAGGTGACATGGACGGGTGGAATATTGCAAGCTTATTTCAGGGTGAAGATTGTAATCGGCTTAACTCATTCCCAAGACTACAGAGTGTGCAAGGAATAATAGAAGGGGCAAACCGGGAGAACTGGAAGCAGAGCAGGAACACACCATCTAGGGGTGAACCAGGGGTAGGGTGGAAATATCACCAGGGTGACCAAAGGACAGAAGTACTTTCCAACCAACTCAGGGAGATAGACGTTTACCAACCTCTAGAACAAGAGAGGGAGGCCGGTAACAGTCCTTCTCTAGCCAGTCCATCAGTCCCAGGTAACCAAGTGAATTCAGTTTTTGCTACTAATGTGTCTCTTGTGTCTTTGGTTCCAGATTCCGTTCCTATTTCATGTCCTGTAGCCCATGAATATGCAGCCGAGCTAGTTGGCGGGCTCTCCAAGGAGGGGGAGAGGGGAAGGAAGGAAAGTGGGAAGGTGCGGGAAGGAAGGTATAGGAGTGAAAAAGTGTGGGAAATCATTGAAAGAGTGTTTAAGGAAGTGGAAAGAAAGTTGATCTGGAGGAGGGAAGGGGAGGAAGGAAGAGGGGAGGGGTCGGTGGAGTGGAGGGAAGGGAAGGAGGGTAGAGATGGAGAGGATAACGAGGGGAGAACAGGGAAAGAGGTAGGTAACAGGAGAGGAAGGATGGATGGAGAGGAAAGAAGAGAGGTGGGACCAGAGGAGAGGAAGAAAGGGCAGGTGGACAGAGATGGAGGGGATTCTGTAGGAAGGACAGGGTGGAGGACTCGGTGAGAGAAGACATGATAGCAGAATTTGTAGGGAAGTTGGGTTGTAGGTTGGAAGATTTGAATGTGTTGAAAGAAAGCTTACAGAAGAGGAAGGAGATCAGAACAAAGAAGAGGAGATTGAGTGAAGTAGAGAGACTGAAGAGAGATGTAGAAGGTGACAAGAAGCTCGGGGTAAAAGGAGATAGAAGGAAAGGGGGAAAGTAGTGGGTAGGTGCCAAGGGGTTTAAAAAAGAAGCGAAACGAAGATTCTTAGTTGGAATGCGAGGGAATTGGGAGTGCAAGGAAGAAACCGACAATAAAAGAGGTAATAAGGAGGTATGACCCAAACATTGTGTTGTTGCAAGAGTCTAAGAGAATAGAGTTTAATAACAAATGGGCAAAGAGTGTTTGGAAAGCTAGGGGGATTAGCTAGGTGGCTGCTCTTGTGGGGAGCTTCCAAGGGGATTGTAACAATGTGGAAGAGGGATGTGGTTGAAGGTTTGGAGGAGTTGATCGGAAAGTACTCGGTTTCCATGAAGTTTAAGCAGCAAGAGGATGATTATATGTAGGTGCTCACAAATGTATACGAACCGAATGACTATAGAGAAAGAAAGGAGTTGTGGGAGGAATTGGCTGATGTTAGAGGGTTGTGGGATGGGCCCTGGTGCGTGGGTGGGGATTTCAATGTGATCAGATTCTCGGAGGAATCCAATAAGGTTAATCAGAGGGTGACAAAAAGCATGAGGAAGTTTAAYARTTTTGTSGRTGCCTTTGAKCTTAAAGAGATTCCCCTAGCCCATAAGACATTTACATGGTCAAATCTCCAATCTAGACCCATTTGCTCTAAGCTAGATAGATTCCTGTTCTCTTTGGATTGGGAAGAACATTGGGGAACCTTGGCTTCTAGAACTCTCCCAAGGGTGACCTCGGATCATTGGTCCATAGTGGTATGTAAGGAGGAAAGAAGGTGTGGAGGTCCTACCCCCTTTAGATTTGAAAATATGTGGTGACTTCATCCAGGATTTACTAACAAAGTGAGGGAGTGGTGGTATGAGTGTAACCCAATAGTGGAATGAGAGGGGATGAGATTCCATAAGAAACTACAATTCTTGAAAGCAAAAATCAAGGAGTGGAATTTGGTGGAGTTTGGGAGGATAGAAGAAAGAAATGGAGCTCTGATGGATCAACTTGAAAGCCTTGACTCTAAAGAAGAAAGGGGAGAATTTGGAAAGGAAGACGATGAACTCAGGAGAGGTTTGAGAAAACAGTTAGAGGATTGCCTGCACAGGGAGGAAATTAGTTGGAGGCAAAAATCTCGGTGTAAATGGCTGCAAGAGGGAGACAAAAACACTAGGTATTTCCACTCTTTGGCAGATGGCAGGAGAAGGAAGAACTTTATCTCCAAATTGGTAGTAGATGGAGTTGAGTTGATACAACAAGAGGAGATAGTCAGGGCCTGTGTGGAGCACTTCAAATCCATTCTAAGAAGGCCTGTGAGTAGAAGGGTGTGGGTAGAAGGATTGGATTGGCCAGATGTAGGGGTAGAGAACAGGAGAAGGTTGGGTAGAAGCTTTAGTTTGGAAGAGATCAAAGAGGTTGTGTTTTCTATGGATAGAACAAAAGCTCCAGGGCCAAATGGGTTCACAATGGCTTATCAGGACTGTTGGGATATTTTGAAAGATGATCTTTTGCGGGTGTTTGAGGAGTTTTTCAGGAGAGGAATTGTCAATCYGGGTGTGAACTCTACWTYTATAGCCTTAATTCCAAAAAAGAAAGATGCATCCCACCTGAAGGATTTTAGACCAATTAACTTGGTAAATAGCTTGTATAAGGTCATTGCAAAAGTGTTGTCGTTGAGATTGAAGGAGGTATTGCCAAATATCATTGCACATTATCAAGGAGCTTTTGTGAGTGGAAGACAAATTACTGATCAGATTTTAATTGCTAATGAGAGTGTGAAGAACTTTAAGAGGGATAAGAAGAAGGGGGTGGTCTGTAAGTTGGACTTGGAAAAGGCTTATGACTTGGTGGACTAGGATTTCTTGAAGAAAGTTTTGACTAAAGTTGGGTTTGGGGCTAGACGGTGTAAGTGGATCATTGGTTGTGTTCGGAATTGTCATTATTTAGTGCTAGTGAATGGGACATTGGTAGATTTCTTTCCAGCCAATAGGGGTATAAGACAAGGAGACCCCCTCTTTCCTTTCTTGTTCATTCTAATTGCAGAGGTACTGGGGAAACTGATTCACAGAGCAGATTCTAGGGGGCTCATTAGAGGCTGGAGAGTTGGGAGGGTGGAAACCCCCCTCACTCACTTACAGTTTGCTAATGACACGATTCTATTTTGTGAAGGCGGTAATGTGAACTTTATCAGGAACTTGAAGTCGGTGATACAACTGTTTGAGCAAATGTCCAACTTGAAGGTTAACCTTGGGAAAAGCTGTGTAGTGGGGGCGAATATGGAGGGAGAGATCAGGAAGAGTGCTGAAGTGCTAGGGTGTAAAGTCTCGGGGTGGCCATTGAACTACTTAGGGTTGCCATTAGGTGATAATCCTACGAGAGAGCCTTTGGAACCCGATGGTGGAAAGGTTTGAAAAAAGACTGATATCCTAGAAAAAAAACTACCTCTCTCTTGGTGGGAGAATCTCTAATTAAGGCCACGCTTGCTAACTTACCCATCTTTTTCCTGTCGGTGTTTAAAATCCCAGTGAAGGCTTCTAACAGATTGGAGAAGCTGATGAGAGATTTCCTGTGGGAGCCGGGAAAGGAGAAGAGGGATCATAGAGTTAGCTGAGAGATAGTGTGTAGGAGTAAGACTTGTGGTGGTTTAGGGCATGAGAATATTAGGAGAAGGAATATGGATCTTCTGGGAAAGTGGTTGTGGAGGTTCCCTATGGAGAAGGAGAAGCTATGGGCTAGAATAGTGGCAAGTATACATGGGCTGGAGCATAATGGATGGGACGCTGGAATCATAGCTAGGACCACAAGCAATTCTCCTTGGAATGCAATTCATGACCCGCTACCAGTATTCTCCCCTAATATCAGGTATGATTTGAATTCCGATAACTCCATAAAATTTTGGGAACAAACCTGGGTGGGGAGTGCCCCTCTAAAGGATCAAAAAATGCAGCTTTGTCTATCTCAAACAAATCAAAATAAATATACACAAATCAAACAACCATGATAAACAAACCAAAACAAATATACTTCAAGAAAATAGCTCACTGCACCATCAAATTGTGTAAGTACTTCAACCTTTTCTTCTTAACTAAACAATTCGTTCAAGTCAACAAGTCTACAGGGAACCTGCTTACTAGACTACAGTACTGCAGATTAATAAAATATGTAAGCATTGCCAAGCATGATCTGTAGAATTTGGTTAATGGGCTTTAACCAAACGGTTTTCCTCAAAATTCTAAGATCGATTAATTATATTCTGAACAGTGTATATTGATCAAAAAAAAAATATTCTGAACAGTGTAGCAAACTATAGGATGTTCATTTTATTTGTTTAACAGATTCTTTGTGGACAGAGTGCCCATAAGGGTGTATAAGAACACAGAAATCAAACAAATTTTCCCTAATGAGAAGTCCATGTGGATCTTCTCATGTATATGGAATTAGAGTTGAAAATCGGGCCGTGCCACCCGTGGCCCGGCACGATTGTATGGGCCAATGGGCAATGTCGGGCTTGGGGTTTCAGGTCAGCAGGCTGGGCCAGCACGGCCTGCACTGCCATGTCATGCCGCCCGTGGCCTGCGGGCTGGCACAGCCCAGCACGACCCATATATATTTTATACATAATATTTATATATTTATATATAATATATTATATAAATTATAATTATACAATAATGTATAGTATATAACATATTAATAAAATAAACAATTTTTTCAATTTTATTATACTACTTTATTTAACTATTGTATATATAAGCAATTGTATACATCAAAATTCATATAAAATTAAAATTTTAAGTTTTTTTCAATTTTTTAAATAAATAACTTTGGCCCAGTCCACGGTCTGACTTGGTCCAAGGCTCAACCCACGGACCAGCCTAACCTGGCACGGGAACGCGTGGGCTCGGGTCGTGGGCCTGCCGTGCCGACCCCCCAAAATATCACAGGGGAGGGAGGCACGGCCTGGCCTGTCCAGCATAGCCCATTTTACACCTCTATATGGAATGCAAACAATTGGGCAACAAGGGGTAGGCTTGATAAGACAGATTGGAAGAAAGCTCCCCTTGTCTCCTCCTATAAGGACTTCAGTGTCAATGGTTACTAGTGGGAAGATCCTTACCCTGTTTGTGTTTCCACCACAACCCAGAATTGGTGGGATCAATATGAAGTTTGGCACCTCTTAGATTCTTAGGAGGAGGACTATGATTGGTCTATCTCAAACAACCATGATAAACAAATGCAGCTTTGTCTATCTCAAACAAATCAAAATAAATATACACAAATCAAACAACCATGATAAACAAATCAAAATGTAGTTTGGTCCATCTCAAACAAATCAAACAATTGTAAACAAATCAAAATAAATAAAAAACCTGAACTAGGTTTCCTATGAACAGTCGTTTGAAGAAGAAGAAGAAGATACCTTCGCTACTTGTTAACCGTTGGCTAGGAGTCCGGCGTGAGGATGCTACTTTAACCCCTAAAAAATGAAGAATACGGTGAGAAATTAGATGTGTGACAACGAAGAAACAAAAAGGAGAGAAAAGAAAGAGTTGCGACCATGAAAACATACCTGGAGCAATCTTCAAATGAGTAACGGCGATCTTCTTTCCTGTTCGAGAGAGAAAACACAAATGAGCTAGGTTTTTAGGCTTGGGGTTAAACAAGGGCAAAATCACATCATTTCAAAATTATTGGGGGGGTGTAATTTCGACTTTGTGCTAACTCTGAAACGTGTCTGAGCGTGCTAAGAGTCAGGCCGTGAGCTTTCAATTTAAGACCTGAAAACAAAATTCAGACCAATTTTCAAAAGCAACACCAAACGGGTCTGTAAAGCGTTATCAAACACCACCTAAGATCATAGGCAACTCCAATCCAACCTATCATAATCCTTTTCAATGTCAATTTTGCAGACCACCCCTTTTTGGCTGTTTTTTTTTTTTCCTATCTTCCACAATCTCATTTGCTACCAATACACCTCAAGGTGAACTTTGATAAGAATTGTGTGGTGAGAGTGAATGTGGATGAAAGAGGCCTAAGGGAATTTGCAGGTGAGCTAGGTTGTGCAATCTCGGACTGGCCCTTGACATACTTAGGCCTCCCTTTAGGAGACAAATCCTAAGAATATAAGCTTCTAGAATCCGATAGTGGAGAGGTTTGAGAAGAGGCTGGCGGCTTGGAAGAGAAAGTATCTTTCTTTAGGTGGGAGAGTCGCTCTCATTAGGTCTTACCCTAGCTAACCTCCCTGTCTACTATCTGACAGTGTTTAAGATCCCTTCAAAGGTCTCCAATCTTTTGGAAAAATTAATAAGGAATTTTCTTTGAGAGCCTGGAGAGGATAAGAGAGATCATAGGGTGATTTGGGAGGTGGTCACTAGGTGTAAAAAACTAGGAGGTCTTGGGATTGGTAACTTCAAGAAAAGGAATATGGCTCTGTTGAGGAAATGGTTGTGGAGGTTTTCATTGGAAAGGGATAAATTGTGGACTGAGATTGTGGCCAGCTACATGGGCTGGAAGACAATGGCTAGGATCCTGGAATCATGGCACGGGCTACAGCTGCTTCTCCTTGGAAATCCATTCACAATTTGCTTCCAGTTTTCTCCCCTTGGATCAGGTATGGTCTAAACTCTAGTAACTGAATAAAATTTTGGGAACAACTTTGGGTCAGGGATTCACCTCTGAAGGACTAGTTTCCTTCCTTGTATGCTCTATCAGATTTGAAAAATGAACCTATCTCTTCTTTCTTGGTACCTTCAGACTCCACTTTTGGCTTTGGGTGGAACATTGGCCTGCGTAGAGCAATTAGGGATACAAACATGGACATCTTGTTAACTTTGCTAGCCTCCCTTGAGAATGTCTTCCTAAATCCTGCTAAGGAAGACACCAAATTTTGGACCCCTTCTAGCTCTAGTACTTTTTCTTGTGCTCCATTCTTTGAAACCTTAACTCAGCCTCCTGTCCCCTTTGGGTTGTCCTTTCCGACTAAAGAAATTTGGAGCGGGCCTATTCCTCCTCGGGTTGGCTTTTTTTGTTGGGAAATTTTCCTAGAAAGAATACACATTTTACTTACTTCAAAGAAAAAGACCCAACTATTGTCTACTTCCTAATAGATGTGCTCTTTGTAAAGCTGATGGGGAATCCGGCTACCACCGCATGGTCTCTTGTAAAGTTGCTAAAACTGTATGGGAGTGGGTTTTCTCCCGCTTTGGGTGTTCTTGATATCCTCCAGAGTGTCCAAAGTCTATTCTCTCCTTTTTTTAGATGGCCTAAAAAGCGAGGGAAGACTATGTGGAGGAGTATTAAGACAGCAGTGTGTTGGTCATTGTGAGAAGGAAGAAATTCACGTATTTTTTCAAACAAGGAAAGAACCCTGGAAGAACTGTTAGACCTAATCCTTTTAAGGGCTGCCCACTGGCTAAAATCTTTGGAGTTGTTTTCAGACTTTCCTATAGATGACTTACTAAGAAACTGGAAAGAGATTGCTTCCACTACTAGATGCAAGAGGACTCTTTGTCCCTCTTGGTCCCCTCCCCCTCGGGTTTTATAAAGTTGAATTTTGATGGCAGCAGTGTAAGGAATTCAGGGCCCTCTAGGATTGGAGGAGTTTTCAGGAATAAGAAAGGGATTGTTATTGCTTTATTCTCTAGCCCTATTGGAGAAGGTGACTCTCTTAGGGCTGAGATCCTTGCAGCACTTGAAGGAATTCGAAGCGCAAAGGAATTAAACATCAGTTGTTTGATCCTGGAAGGTGATTCGAAGGTGGTGGTTAGCTGGTTGAAGAAAGAGGACAATGGATTGTGGAACTTTAACAATGAAAAGAAACAGTTCTTATGACTGTGTAGGGACATTGAGATACAATACAACTGGGTGAAGAGGAGTACTCACTCATTTGCAAATGGGTTGGCCAAAGCAAGGGGTGAATAGGGAGTCTGTCTTTTGGGCTAGTTTTTAATTTTTTCTCTTTGTATTCTGTTATTGGGGGGAGCTAAGATATTTTATCTCCTCTCTTGTATCCATAATCCCTCTTTTCTTTTAATTTAATGAAGTTGGTGTTATTGATCAAAAAAAAAATCTATCTTCCTTTAATAAAGCACTTTGAGTGGGAGCAACTACCTCACTAATAACTCTTTTCAGCCGATTTGCCAAAACCTTAGCTATGATCTTATAAAGGCTACCCAGGAGGCTGATTGGTCGAAAATCTCTCACCCCTAAAGAACCAGTCTTCTTTGGGATGAGCTTGACAAAGGTGGAATTGGTACCCTTATTGATGATGGCTGAACTGTAAAAATCCTCTAACACTTCTAACAAATCCCCTTTTACTATATCCCAACATTCATGAAAAAAGGCCAAGGAAAACCCATCAGGGCCTAGGGCCTTATCCTCATCTAAAGTAAAAATTGCAGCTTTTATTTCTCCTCACTGAACTCCCTCTCCAACCAGGTTCTACTTTCTTGAGATAATTTTGGTCCTTCCCAAGCTGTTAGGCTAGGTCTCCAGACCCTGTCAGACGAGTAGAGCTCTTTGAAATAGGAAACAATCTCAGAGACTATGAGGTCCTGGTACGAAATTAGTTGGTCTCCAACTTGTAGGTCTGAGATAAAGTTTTTTCTTCTTTTGCTATTTTCCCATCTTTGAAGGAAACGGGTATTGCCATCACCCTCTTTTAGCCTCTGGCATCTGGATCTCTGTTTCCAATAAAATTCTTCCCTTCTAACCACATCCTCCCATTCAGCTTGCACTTCCTTCCTCATTTCTCTTTCTTCTCTATCTAACTGACCATTACATTCTTTTTTATCCAAAATTGTTAGTTCACTCCAAATTTTCTCTTTTTTTGCCTTCAAGGGATTAAAGGTTCCTTGCTCCAAATTTTTTATCCATTACATTAACCTTGTGTTCATCCCTTTATTCACGCAAAGATGAGAGAATATAGACTCCTTGTTCTTTTGATGTTTATTCTATTTCCTCAAATTGCTAGAAATTCTCCAAACCCAGCTTCACACTTTATTTTACAATGGAAATTCATTTGGGTTCTAAAAGTCAAGATTTTCTATTGGGAAGCTTATCTCCAAGTTATCAACACCTATAAACCAAAGGAAGGGGAAATTGTAATTTCCTATTGGGAAGCTTCTCTTTGGGGGAAGTCCATGGAGAATGATTACTTGGCACCCACCTGAAATAGGTAGCTTTAAGTTCAATTTTGATGAATGTTTTATGGGTAATCCTGGTCAATTAGGGGATGGTGATGCGGTAAGGGATGCGACTGGCACCATCAAGATAAGTTTCTGTGGTGCAGTTGATGTCAGTAACTCATTGAGGGATGAGTTGTTGGAAGTGATAAAATGACTCAAACTATTGGCACTACAGTACAGAATTGGATGGCAATGAGAATTGATGGTGATTGTAAAGTAGTCATCTCATGACCCCACACTAAAACAGAATCAACTTAGAAGTTCACAATTCTGGTTAGGGAAGCCAAATATCTGGGAAGAAATCTGAACTGCTCATTTAAGTGGGTCCCAAAAATCAGATAATTCCCTTGCTGATAGTTTAGCTAGAGCTGGTATCAACTGTCAATGGTGTATTTGGGGAATGCCTAGTTCAGGGGTCCAATTGTAATTTGGTTAGTATTCTCTTTGTATTTGTATGATAAGATTTTAACCGTTTTTTTTTTTGTACCTTCCCTGTTGTCTACCCTAGATAGATTTGGTCACTCACTCACTCAAAAAAAAAAAAAAAGAAAAAAAAAACGAAAAGAAAAGAAAAGAAAAGCTTAGCATGATATTTGAACATGTTATGTTTCTTCTAATGCATGACTGGATTGATGAAAGATACAGATTGGGTTATTAGTATGTTTTCTCATTCTTTCATGTCATAATTTCATTTATGACTTGATCAACCAGACTAATTAACAGATAGTTCAACTGCTTTAATCCTTGTTAGACCTTTAATGGCTTAGTGGTAAACAGTGAGATTTAAGAAACATTGGTTAAAATGTCATTAAGATCACAATTAACATGATATTATGTGAAGAAAAACTTTGAAGCTAGACCCGTAGTATTAAAATTTAGGAACTCTAGCAACTTAGATAATGCCACCCACCCACCGCTCCTTTTTTCTTTCATTAATTACACAAAACAGAGAATTGTTGCAATACAACAAAGCAAAATGATAATATTGAACAAAAAGCACTCAATGTTCATTAACCAATAAACAAGATTCCCAAAGAAGAAGATTTGTATCTAAAAACTAAAATGCATCATACAATGAAAAGATTCACAAATGAGGTGATATTGGGATGCCAAATGAAAAAGAAATCATCTCAGATTAGTTTCAACAGGATTTGGGCGAACAATGTCCTCATCCCAAATGCAGTTGTTTCCAGTGATTGATAAGAGTTGAGAAGAAGACGAGCTCACTTCATAAAACCCTAAAGAGAATTCAACCATATCTTTTCTAAATAACAACAAACAGATTATCGTAGACTGGGAGCTGGGGTTCCCAAATGCAATTGAAAGCCATGATGAAATTTGCAGTTAGCTTCAAAAAACAAAGCCGATATTTAGTGATCAATAATCAATATTCAGTAACAAAAATAATAACAAGCTCTGAAAAAAAAAAACCTTATGTATAAAAAAAATGAACGAAACAAGAGGAGGAAGGAACAAGAGCAAACTGATTTCTGTGTCCTCTCAAAATTTCTCAAACCCAAATCAGTGTTCAAAAGATGAACGAACTACCTGGTTAAGGGTTGATATTCTTGACTTCCCCTTGCTCAGGTTTTGATGAATCCTCCTCTCATTCTACAGTTCGAAAACCGCCTTCCCTCGTCTTATGAGTTATGAGGGAGGGAAGACACACAGAGAAGTCCAACTAATACTGCTAAGTGCGGTGGAATATAGTCTATCAGATATGATCCTTAGGATTGGAATATTTTCTATTGCTCTAATCGGATCGTTAGAGCGAATATTGGTTCAATCCGATTCAATTTCATTTCAAATCCAGTTTTAAAACGCTGAAGGAAGAGGCAAGGCGAGGATTCGCCTCCAACCAGGGTTAACCCAAGCCCAGTCCGACCCAGTCGACAGTTTTATATAGGGGTGAGTATGGGTTGGTTCGGTTCAATTTTATAGTAGAACTCAAAATTTATCTTATAGAGGTCGGTTCCAGATTTTTGAAATTAATTGTATCAAATTTTAGTGCGGCTGAGCTTAAGTTGAAAAGATCATGCTTAACCTCAGGTTTGGGCCTTAAATCCAATTCTTAGAATTGAACTGGGTTTAGCTTAAACCTGACCCAACCCGCCTAACTTGCACCAGTATGAAAAATGCAGACAAGCAAAAACGCATACACCTCTAACACTTGGAGACTTAAACCCTACATGTCAACTGTTAGGCTACCAAGGCCAGGTAATTTTCTTGCCTCACTTTTGATGCATGATTGAAAAATTAGGGTCTAATTTTGTGATGCAAAGTGACAACTAGTTGGTTGATAAAGTCTCTTCCTAATTGTAGCAGAGGCTTGGAATTGAATCCTGCCTACATCAGACTTGGGGGGTCATGGATTGAGCCATTGAGGGATGGGCTACCCGCTGTTGTGTAGTCCCATGAAAATAAACAAAAGACAAAAAATCATTGCCACTGGGGCTCTGCAAAATCGTCCCAACATTCTGGGCTCAAATGCATTGTACTATTGTATGCATGTGCATATATGCATTTAGAACTGGCTTTGAGCCATGGAAAGGTCAATTGTAGGCCAAGCCAGGAGGCCCAAAACTCAGGTTTAATGGGCGGGACTTGGGCCAACCAGGGTCACTGGGCAGCCTAACCAGTGTCCAATCAAGGTTCAAAATATTGTAATATATGGGTGTATGTTATATATGTATCGTTTATCAGCATGCCACTTACTTATGTTGATTTTTTTGTTAAATTTATGTAGGTAAATGAGACTTCTCAATTTTCCCATATTATTTATTTTTCCGAATAAGTTGCTATTTTTCCATATTTTGCCATTTTTACCCTTGGATTTCAGTGCAAATTACAAACACATGAATATATAAACAGATTCTAGTGCAATTAAAAAACATATGAAACCATTTAAATCCACATCTGTTCTCTCAGTATAAAACATAGATATTTTTTTGGGTATATTCAGGGTGTAGAATATGGGTTTTAGACTCAACTACATTTATCATCAATGCCACCATTAATTAATGACCTAAAAAAACATTGGCCATCTGCTCACAAAGCTTAAGTTTTTTTTTTTGGGTAATAAGCACAACCTATAAAAGGAACCCATTGGATATTCTAATGGTTAATACATACAACTCATAATGTCTGAACTAAAATCTAGGTCTGTAGTTCAGTCCAAAAAAGTTTCATGAATAATTTCTAATGGTCTGGGCCTTTGCCACGTATTGGATATTTGGAAGCTCAAAACCCACCAAATCCTGTATTTGTGATATCGATCGTCTGTAGGTTGTGGTGAATTGAATAACCACTTAAAAAAAACAAGAAAATCAAAAAACCTTTTTAGTTTTAGTGATTAGAATACCGTGTTATTAACTTAATGGTTATGCATTAAAGGCAGATGAGGTATAGCTGGGTTCAATTGCAACATACCTCATAAATGAGCTTCACTAGTAATTTCAGGTGTGCTTTCTAAAAATTGGTCTAACTTATAGCAAGAACCCTTGTAATATCTGAATGCATCTATTGTACCAAAGTTGGGACTATATCTCTAGAGCTACAAGACTTAAGTTCTTTGGATGTCGACTCAATGTTGGTGAAGTTTTCCCTCCAACATTGCTTCTCATGGTAGACAACTTAAAGCCTTTTGTATCCAAAGCAAACATCTTCCTCTTTTTCCTTTTTTTTTATAAAGCTAACATCTTCCAACGGGTACCAGGATTAGTCAACTTTTTAGCCAATCGTCTTGCTAAGAATGATGTAGGAATGAATTGTATTGGGATTCTTTAGATGAGAGTTCTTGGAACCTGGCTGTACATAACATTTTTTATCAATGCCTTTACATATATTGCTTTTGCAGGTTGGGACTTTATCCAGCTTAAGAACAACCATGACTCATGAGTTCTGGTAGAACTGTAGTGTTGGGAGATGGGAAAGAAATGTCTGGACTTATTAGAGGGGCTTGGTTGGTTGGTAGGTTTGTATGACCTCTCTAGGAAAAAATCCACATATATTAATCAACTGTAAGTAAGATTAATTGTGGTGTATAAAAAACAAATATCCACATAAAAAAAAAAAAAAAAAAACTCCTAGCCAAGTTGGATACCAATCAATTAGCTTGGCTAGTGTGTTCTTAAGCAAAGCATGAATTGCTAAAGACATGATACTAATGTGTTCTTCCATTTTCAATTTGCAAAGTATTTGAGCAAGGCATAAATTAATATATAATACTGATAACATGACACTAGTGTGTTCTTCCATTTAATTCCAATACTAAGGATCATATCTAACATAGCAAGAGAAAGAATTTTATAGCTAGATGTAGTTCACGTCATGAGATGTTCAAGTTGTTCCACATTAAGTCGTTATCAATATTCAATATTACGCATACAACTTATGTAGGGCCTGTTTGGCATGTCTTTTTGGGAAGATCTTTTGTTAGTTCTGACATGCAAAAGACGCATTGAGATTTTGTATGAATATCTGAACAATCCGAAGCACGTTTGGAAGATGCACATCTTTCCGTGCGTCTTTTCGTATCTTTCCGCACGAGAATAAAACTCGAAAGACGCGGAAAGATTCATTTGAAGCTTCTCGAAATCAGCCTGAAATGGGCTTCTCGCATTTTTTTCGATGCTTCATCTTTTGGCAACTAGATCTTCTGCAAGCCAAACGGAAATACACCAAAAATCAGTCTTTCCAGCTTGTGAACAGTTGAAAGACCATGCAGAAAGACACACCAAACGAGCCCATAGTTAAGAAAGGCAACATTTGTATCCACATTGGGTCCAAGGGAGAAACAAATATCATTCCCATATTTGCTTAACTACTATTTAAATGACTGAAACAAATGCTTATAAGCACCATACTTGGTATGCTTATATAGTAGAAAGAAGCTTGAGGGTCTTACAAGTGTTCTTAATCATTAAGAAAGGAAAATAAAAAGAAGTTTTTTAGATTACAAGTGTTTAGAGAGAACTTGTGCCTTACAGAAGAGACTTGTCATAGAGAAAGAGGTCATTCTTGCCATTTTAGCTCCATATTTTACAAATTTACATGGCACGGGTTCTTTCCTATTGGTAGACCTGTTCACGGGCTGGGTCGGGCTTTGCCTTTACATTAATAGAAAATGTTTAGGCCTGAGCCCGAGCCTAGCCCGACCATTGGGCCTAAGTCTTGAGTCCGAGCCCGGCCTAACTATAAAGCCCGAAGCTTAGGCCCGAGCCCGACTAGAAATTTGGAAAAAAAAAAGATTTTTCCTTTTTAATTCAATTAAAAGTTGTTTAATTTACACTAAAAGACCTCAAAACCTAAAAAAAAATAATGAAAAGTCTCATTATTACTTGAAAAAAGATAAGAAAATATTATATATATATATATATATATATTTATTCTAAAATATATTTTTATTAATATAATACATTATCAAGTCAAGCTCGGGCTTCCTGAGCCCGGCCCGAAAAAACTCAGGCCCGAGCCCAAGCCTATGGGCCTAAAATCTTGTCCAAACCCGACTTAGATCGGGTCGCGCCCGGCCGGGCCGGCCCATGAATAGGTCTACCTATTGGATAGGGGTGGCAATTTCTCACTCGGTCCATTGAACCCACCCGTTATATCTACCCATTTACTTAGTGGGTTAGAAATGGGTTGAATCACCAAATCCATTGGATTAACCACTAATGATACAAATGTGAATTCCTTAGCCATTTTTCTTTTATTTTCTTCATTTGAGTGAAACAATTTATAATTAATGCATTAATTAATTTTATAATCAATTATTAATTCAAATTTGTTTATGTTTGAGTTGACACAATTCACCCAAATCGACATGAATCCATATTTAGTTAAATGGCCTAATCAATTCGTTCAATGGCCCAATTTGGTCCAATTTGATTCTGGCGTAAATGACCCAACTATACCCAACCTGAATCAACCTAAACAAACCCAACAATCTAGTCCACCCCGATTTGGGTCGACCAAATCCAACACTAGATTAGATTGTTTAGGCAACCCAACCCAATTTGGACCGATCTGGGTCGAACCAACTTGACCCGAATCTGGATGGGATGGTTGACCCATCTTGATCCATTTTGGATTGGTTGGTGATGAAGGAAGATTTGGCCCGACCTCGCAAATCACAGCACGTGGCAAAAAAGGCAAGTAGCTCGGCACTCAAGACAGCATACCGAGGGTACAAACACCAAAGGGAAGGGACCAGCAGGCCCGAACTCCCTACTTAGTGGTCAAACTCTCTGCAAGGTGCCTGAACTCCCTACTTAGTGCCCGAGCTCCCTACTTAGTGGTCGAACTCTCTGCAAGGTGCCCGAACTCCCTACTTAGCAGTCGAACTCTCTGCAAGGTGCCCGAACTCCCTACTTAGTGGTCGAACTCTCTGCAAGGTGCCCAAGCTCCCTACTTAGTGATCGGACTCCCTACGAGGAGCCCGAACTCTCCCTTTTGACCCCGTCACACAAAGCTGAGACTCGAACTAGCCCGTCTTATGACAGTTCGGGGCCTCCCCTTATCCGAACTCGAGACTTTGCCTTACGCACTGCTCCAGGTACTTCGCTTCCGGAACATTGAACTGGACGAACCACGCCGTACCTAACAACCGAAGGAGTCCGTATCCAGGGGCGGCGCACCTGACTGACTTCGGATCTGACGCT